GCAAAACTAGTACGCAACGGCTGTTTAGTTTCCTCATCGGGTTATAAGAGAGAAATTGACCAGAGCAATGGAAATGTGAGGATGCATTGCGGAAAAGTGGGTCTCATGCGTTCACCCGGTGTGCGTCGTAAATCATGTCACGCAGCCAAGGGAAGGGCCCATGACCCCATGACCCCACAGGCCCCCTTCAAGGGAGCCTTTAGGGTCTTAAGCCTTTGGATGTGGCGAAGACCCCTGCAATTTTTGGCAGCTTAAAACGCTCGCATGGCTTGTAAAACAAAACTTGACCCTCAACCCCATCAAAATGAGACCCTGAGCCTAACAATTCTTTGGACCCAACAACAGATGTTTTAAAGTAAAGGAGTGTGTCCCCTTGGATTAACGGGAACCCTATGCTTCAATTTGGGCATTTGCCGGGTGAAATTTTAGCTACGCAAATGCAGCGCCTAATAATATCACACGAGCCTACTATAACGCACGAACGCCACTTAGGTTTCAATAGCAGATGCCTTGCAATTTTAAATGATGTTCCCAGATTCACTGGGCATGAGGATGCTGCTCAGCACGAAGACAAAGAGACATTGTATCAATTTGTGTTCGGTCAACGAGTTTCAGCGTCGCAAGACAAATACAGCTCGGACCACGCCCCTTGTGCAAAAACGATCGCACCCGTGCCAAAGACGTTTCGAAGGAACACTGGTCCGTCGCGCACCAAATGCAGGATGATGGCCACAAAAAAATCTTCGAAATAGCTCAGAAAGTCGCCAAACAGTCACACAATCGTAAAGCATGGTCTGGAAAATGGCCTCAAACTTTCAACAAGGTGGCTAGGTGCTAGAAGCTGCCAGAAGCATACAACAATGCTGGATGACTTAATAATTGGCTGAAAGCAAAATGAAACTGGCCCTAGTTTTTGAACGTCATATGGCTTAGTGACGGTGCCAAATCGGTCCGAATGAGACATTGGAACATCATATGTGTGCCCCGAAGTAGCCTGACATCGTTCTGGACAGCGCGCTGCGCAGCCCGAAAAGTGAGAGCGTGGTGGGCCATGAGTTCCAAGGACATCATTGGGTCCTCGCCCCAGGGATAGATCCAGGATTTCGTTCGGGGTAGAAGGCACAAAATTGCTTTCCCACCGGACTTTGGTGCCCCTGGAACCAGAATGCTTCGAGCCATTTATGGTGCGTTCTGAAATTTGGGTGTTACTTGAGAATAAAGGCTATGGCTATGGCTATGGCTATAATAAAGGCTATGACACCCAAAATGATGGTTGGTGCTGTTTTCGCAGTCTGGGTTGGTCCAGGGCTTCGTCAAATGGACGCAGAATGGAGCATGGATATTGTAATGGCCCCTTGAACTTCTGTGACAAGGGCAGGCTTTCTGACCAGCTTCTAGTGCATAGCCATATATATATATATATATATATATATATATAATATATATCATCTCTATATATATATAATGAATAAATATATATATATCATAAATATATATATATATATAGTCTATAATATATCATATTATTATATTATATATATTATATATATAAGTATATATGTTGGCTCAATGAAGTTTTTGTTCTTCTTCACCACGAGATATGGTTCGTAAAAGTGAGGCACTTTTACCTGATGGGTGTCCAAGGAAGGGAAGAGAATGGCGCGGCTCCAGGATCCCCCCACCCTCTCTGGATCAACTCTTGTCTGCACGGCATTGTTTAGTCACAAACTCGAGTAGTAAGACAATGAAATTTCGACAGATCTGGAACATTGCCATCACATCATATGATAAAATATGTTTTATAGCCCTCCAACGCCTGCAGGGGGCCCAACAGATACCAAAAAATCTGCCCTCCCGCATCTCCTGGAGCGGCTTAGGATCTGCACCATGACCGGGCACGTGCTGTATCCACCTCAAATGGGAGCTGCCAGCAACGGATTAAGAGGGGAGGCCATGGGGCCACGGCATTTCCTTGGGCCAAACGGGCACCAAAAGTTGGTGGTGACACCGAAACGGGCCACCGAAAGCCTAATTTTGTCCATATGATCTTTATTTTCGTGACGCACCAAAGCTCCGGGGCTCCAGAAACGGCCCCAGCTCTTCAGCACAAAAAAATCACCACAGAATGAAGTGGCCGAAATCCCCTAAAAATGTGTCTGGGAAATATGATAAGCATGGTTCCTGGGTTCGACTTTTCCCCGTACCAATTACCCCCCCCCCCCCCCCATCCCCGACGACAAGGGACATGTTCCACACCTACTAATAACACGCCAGTATGCTGTTAATTTTTCTTAAAAAATAATCCGAGCCTTTTTTGAATAGATGAATTTCCGATATCATAGCCCACGCTAAGCAGTGCTTGTTGTGCGAGCCCTGGTCCCTACCACTCGATCGCGCACTCCATGTCAACGACAGAATTTGGTGGCGGAATTTGGTGGCGGAAGCTTAATGAGCCGCACAACCCGCCACGGTCTGTCCTGCCCTCTGGATTCATGTGACCTTTATCGCGGCTGCTGTCACTGGCCACAGGCCATGCTTGTTAAGGCCAAACAGCGGGCGCCTCAGGCGACTCGAACTTACCCCGCCACGGGTGGTTGATTCGGAAGGCAGGCACTCAACCAACTGAGCCATTGGAATGTACAGACATACATATAGTGTGACGCTAAGAACTATACATGAATTTAAGCGACTGTTCCACGCTGGGTGACTTTGCCTTAGTGGACACTTCTGATCAGGGGAGACGGCGGTGGTCCTACCAACAAATCAGTGTTGTCGTGCTAAGCTTTGCTGGCATGTTTAGTGGAAGGGATTTTTGTGAGAATTAACCCGTACATGCATCGTTCTGGTAAGTCTGGTTTTGGTTGTTCTTATCAGGACAGCGTACTCAATACAACGCAGCCCGCAATCTGCGTCGGCGCATTGCCATTGGGCATTGACTGCTTGTTCAACGGTACAGTCTGGGCTTGGGCGTCAAATGTCAACTGCATATAAAGCCGGGGAACGATCTTGCGAAATCACTAAACTCTGCTACGAGCCTCAACAATGGACAACCAAACACGAATCAACTCCTGGTACATAACCCAAGGCCAAAAAGGTGTCCAGGATGACCACGAAAGATAGCCCAAGCGAGGGGGAAGCAACTAAAACATGTCAATGTGATGTATGAAATTTAACACATCATGAAATGTCAAGGTCAAAATCTACAATCTCAAAACATACATGGAAACCGTGTATTTTAGCATCCTAAATAATCATCACGGTGCTCAAAAACGTTCAGAAGCTATCGCGGGCAACTAAGGTGGCTCCCAAAGGTCCTAGTCGTACGATGGGGTTAGCGAACAGGGTGGTTAAAACGACGCACACCGGCTCGAAAATGTGTCCGCATGCCACTCGTCAAAAACACAATAAAGGTAAGTTGCACAGCCAAATGTCTTGATGGAAAATCCCTGAGCATTGAAGATTTGCGTCATGCATCATTCACACTCCGCCATTACACAGGGAGCTTCATGCGGCACGTGCTCCAAGCAAACGTATTTCCGAAAGAGGTACAGGCTAATATCAGTCCAGTTTCCCGCGCGCCGCGCCCCCGGTCGCGTGTAGTGTCGGAAGCTCCGCTGTTTACTGCCCCACCACGCCGTGCCTAGTCCTGCACGCCTGCCAGTGACTGTCGTGTGAGAGTGATCGCCTGCGTGATGTAGCGTGCCGTGGATTCTGTGTCGGTCCAACAAAACAGCCTGCGTTTACCGCGAAAAAGACTCATCGCGATCTTGCCCGCAATCTGGTGCTGCTGGTGTTGACGTACCTGCTGCTCAGGAACAGCTGCGATACCAGCTTTACAGCCACCTCTCCGATGGACCACCGCCATCGTCACCGACACTGTCCTGCAGCGACCCTCCAGCCCATCGGCCCTGTCGAAACGCCGGCCGATCTCGAGGCAGCCTCATCCCTTAGCCGTCTACGGCGACCACGGCCGTGACCGACCCGCGGCCGCTCGCGTCACCCGGCGCGGCAAGCGCGGTGCCAGCACAGGTGCCGCGGCTGCAGGGGTGGTCAGACGTGGCGGCGCTCTTCTTCGGACGGTCTTCGGAATATGCTCGTGGGACTTATCAACAGCCAGTCCCTGCTGCCGAAGATAGTTTCATTACAGCACGATCATCTAAAGCGGCTGCATTACGACTTTTACGAGATCACCCAGACGGGGCTGCGATCCGCCATTGCGTCCAGACTGGTCACGTTCACCGGCTATGCGCCGCACCGTCCAGATAGGCTAAGAGTGGAGGTGTGGCGGTTTAAGCCACGACTGCTACAAAGCCACTGTCGTCTCACAGCCGGCATCTCAGTGTTCGGACTATTGGCTGGAGTCCCTCTGGCTGCGAGTGAGATCGGAGTCTGGCTGGCCCGCATTTCTCTGTGGCTGTGGTTTACCGGCCCTCGCGTAGCGCCGTGCCGCCAGGCGGACTTCAACGAACTGGAGCTGCAATATCAGCGAGTACTTCTACACACCACCTCGGACCGATCCCCATCATGGGCCACTTAAATTGTAGTTTACTGGACCCAGCTAGTAACGCTGTAAATGGCCGGTTAAATGAAATAATCCGATCGTTCCATCCTCACCAGTTTGTCAGAGTCCACTTT